AAAATTAAAAACAATTAAATTTCTCGATATATCAGGCATACAATATTCATTAATAATATTGGCATCAATAAAACAATGTCTTTTCATTGAATCTTCTTGATATGTTAAATTTACATGAAGTCGAAGTTTTAATTTTTCAACATAATTAACATTATTAAGAATCCATTTTAGATATTCAAACTGAGAATCAACAAGAATGTAACTGTTTAAAGTAAAACATTTTAATTTTGGAATCTATAATTAAACAAAATAATTACTCGAAAATACATTTCTTTTAAAGTGAAATCTTTTTTTTTTCTACGATATAAATCGTTCAACAGGATCTAACTATTTACAAAAATATAAATCGTACAAATAATCTATCATAGTCAAGACTAACATTCACTGAAATTTTTCGTTCAAATCGGATGAAAAATAAAAAAAAGAACTCTAGTTATTAGGACATGACTCTCTTAAAATTCCTTTCAGCTATTAAAAATCTTCTTTTCCTAACAATCGCCAAATACGTCATTTTTTTCTATAAGAAAAAAAGTGAAATGACAGGCTGTCAGAATCTAAAAGATTAGTCTAGAAGAGAGCTGCCACGCCGCCAGATCAGGTGGAGTTTTGAGACTGTAGTCTGGTTATGATTTAATATTAATTTTTCTGCTACAGAACAAAAGACCTATGATATAATGGTACTAAATGGTGGTCAAAAAGTTTCGACTCCTCTTAGTAAATCGATCGGATTTAGGACAAACTTATGTATAGATAATTGATCGAGCTATGTGATTTTGTAGCGAAAAAGTAGAACTATCTTCTGAAAATAAGATACTTCGAAACGCTTAAATGTAAGATAATGTTATGGTCATTTTATTCATCTTGAGTAAATATTTTCATCTTACATTTTTTGAAAATATATAAAAAAATGTTGTTCGAAAAAAAAATGTAAGATGAAAATATTTACTCAAGATGAATAAAATGACCATAACATTGTCTTACATTAGAGCATTTCCAAGTATCTTGTTTTCAGAAGATAGCATTACTTTTTCTCTACAAAAGCACATAGTTCGATCAATTATCTATATATAAGTTTGTCTTAAATACCATTGATTTACTAAGAAGAGTCGAAACTTTTTGACCATCCTTTGACTTTTAACCATTTCTTACATAAATTGTAGACTTTTAAAAAATGAAAAAGATCTATTAGAGTGAAAGATGATAGCTATAAATGACTATTTTAATAGAATAAAACAAAGTTATTGTTCAGTTCAAGATAACTCTTTTTTTTCATAATCTATATGTACTCGAGAATTTGAATACAGCAATATCGCATGACAGCAGTTGTGCTTTATCGTCTTCTTCGGCTTCATCTATTCAGAAACTAGGTCTATATGTTTTCCATTCGTAGGGATGGGACTTTCACTTTCTTTCAAAAAAGGAAAGGAAAGTAAAAACTCCTTTTTCAAAAGAAAGTTGAATTAATTATTTTATTTTGGAAAAAGTGAGCATATTCGGGATCAGCATTAAATCTTGAGTAAAACTATGGAGTAAAGCTAGGTACTTCTCTCCTGTCGAGAATGACTTTCATTTTTCTCCTGTTGTTGTGCAACATATGGGAGACTCAAGACCATCCAAAAAATTCCTTTATCAATTCTATGGAATCACAGTTCATTAGACGCAGAATTTAATGCTGACTCCGAATGTGTTCTTTTTTTTCAAAAAGAAAATAAATAATTGCACTTTTTTTTTGGGAAAGGAAAGGGTTTTTTTCCTTTCCTTTCTGAAAGTAAAAAGAAAGTGACAGTCCCACTCCTATCTATTCGCTTCTTCTATGGAATCATTATTGTATTCTACTAAATAGATAAATTTATTAAAACATGAAAAAAAAACCTACTATGATATCTTTGGTAATAAAGCATCATCAGCTATTGATTCGTATTGATAAATTGTTGGTTTTCAAAGAACTTTAAATTGCAGAGCAACAGAATTTGATAGGCTCGAGAAATTAGAAACAGTAGTCGACCTTGTCTACAGGCTAGATCAGGACAGAAAAATATGGCCTGTTGGTAGTTCTGGTATAGGACATGTGAAAAGAATTTAGTAATTTTACACAGGAGTAGCAATTCGTTTGGGAAGATTTACATATGAATAATCTATTTTTCTCATATTAAACAATGGTTACACTACGTTTCGTTTATTTTACCTTATCATACCAATTGACAATAGTTGACGAGAACTTTTTAGTCTTCATATGATATAATTGTTCTTGGGCCAATGAACCTCCAATTACAACTGAAAGAATTTCAAGAGCAGGTACATGTTCAATAATATGTTCAATAAAATAACCATGAATAACATGAATGTGTAAACGACGAAGAGTCATACAATTAGTAACAAGTTGATTGTCGATTTGATTTGAATAAATATCAGAAGAAGATGATGATGAAAGACATTTATGTATTTGAAAAACAGAATTGTCTTGTGAAATATCAAGTTGAAGCGAGGTTAATTGACATTTAGATGAAAAAAGTTGACGTATGAATTCTTGATATATGACTGTCAATTTTTGAACTGTCATTAAAAAAAAACAAAGAACAAATCTTTAGTATTTTTTTTTTCAACAACAAAATCTATGAGTTTCATTTGTTTTCAATTCTTAACTTCTAAGACTTTTTATGATAAAATGAATTGTTTGACGAAAAATTTCAATTTACCTTGATCACGTGCATTCTTGCCAGAATCGTATTCATAGTCAAACATTTCAAGACTATCTTCATCAAATGTTAAGATTAATTCATCTAATTGATATTGAACAAGTAAAGATAAATTATTAATTAAGATTTCTGATAGATAACATCGAGTTAGAATAAGTGATTTCAAATTAATAAAATAAATAAGATTTTCTTGAAAAATCCATTTAGATATAAGATCAAAAAAAACTGATTTTGCTCCATCAATATAAATACGTTGTATAGAAATAGAAAGATTTGAATTAGAAATTATTGACAATAATATTGACTGATATTTATTTAAAGATAAATCTGTTTCACTAATAATAATTCCACTTTTATTTCTACCATAATTTATTGAAAATATTGAACAAACAAGAGAATTAAATCGTTTATTAATTGACCAAAATGATTGTATCATTTCAAACCATGTTAAATTCGATAATATATTAAGAAGAATTTCATTTGCCAGACTTTCTAATGTATTTATCATTTTATTCTAAACAAACAAAACTCTTATTAACTCATACAAAATACATTGTTATTAATACACATATACAAATTCAACTATCCGTCTAATAGTGACGTCGTCAGGAACTTGAGCCTTTTTTTTTCAAACAAAACTAAACCGTTCGTAGAAGAGCTAAGTTCTCTCTCCATAGAGACTATCAGTTACCATTCATCTATCTTTCTTTGTCGCTTGCTTTAGTTAATAATTATTTTAGAAATCAAGTTTTTTGAAAAAATGAATGATCAAATCTGATCAAACTACTTTTTTATTTCAAATTCGTAGAGGAAATTGACTTCATTATTAATAATGTAAATATATCTAAAGGAAAACCTAATGAAATGAAATTCTACTTTTCTTAACAAGTCAATCGAACACAAAAAATCTCGTTGGATAAAAGTTTACTCTAATTTAGAGTTTTAAAACAAAACAAAAAGCTTGGTTATATACTCAATTGTCGAATCTTCTTTCGATAAGTCTGTTAAAATTAGACTGTTTTGTGAAAGATAAAGTTTTGGCATATTTTTCTATGACAAAAAAGTCAAATCTGATGATTTATTGAACTATTCGATTCTTGTAATTGACCTACTCAATGTGTTGAATGAAAGAAGAAAAATTTGCTACAATAACTAAACGACTGAATAGTAAACCTATTGTTGCTAGGAATCTGAAAAATGATATTTTTCAGACCAAGTATCAATTCAAAATTTTCTTTAGTTTCGATCTTGATTAGAGCTAATAAAATGTACCATTTTCACATATATAAAAACGCAAAATTGATTCTTTTCTGAAATTAAACACATCCTACATATATATCGGCTGGTTCAATACTCCTTGAGGATGAAAGAAATAAATTTCTATGATATGAATAACTAAGACTTCTATTTTTAGGATTAGTTTCGGATCTTTTTTGGCAAGATTAAGCCTAAATTTTACTGTTTTTTTTTCTACTGTCAACGAATAGCAAAGTTTTCTCAAATATCCATAAGTAAAACAATAAAACTAAACAATTGACACTAAAAATCTAGCAGAACAATGATAAAAACTTGTACATATAACTGAGTATCTAACCTACTGTCGAATCAAATCTATGTATATTATGTTTTTTCCTACTCGAGAAACCATTAAAATTTTCAAAAACGTCGATTTTTACAAATACTTAATAAAACTTGATCACCACCAGTATGAATAAGTTTTAGTCTCGGCAGGATCGCAACCACTTTAAAGGTCCCTAAATGTTGCACGCCATGTAATCAACTGCCTTCACAAATATCAAAAGTGGACAAGTGTCTTCTTTACACTGTTAGGCAACTAGAAACTTTCTCGAGTACTAGTATTGGCCCATCATTTCAGTACAAATACAAATACTATTCATTAGCGGATGAGTAGTACTAGACAGCTGCAGATCCTTCCAACCGTGGTCACCCTAAAGTGCGGATCCAAAGTTTTATTTTTTTTCTGTCTCTGATTGAAGATCGACTTCAGCTGTAGAAATATAGCTTCTATCGAGTTTCTATCAACAGATAACTCGTACCAGATATTGTTTTACCTGTTTGAGAATTTTTTCATAAGATAAAAAAATAACAATATATTGATGCAATGATATAATAATCAATATTCAACACATAAGATATAGTTGTCTCTTTATAATGAACGAGAAAAAAAAAAGACGAGTGTATCTTTCTTTCTTTTTCTTCGAGAATGAACAAATTTGACGAAATCAAACTCTATACGGCGAATATAATCAAATATTAGACGAACACGTCTATTTTTCTCTAACAATATTTTTTTCTCTCAATTTGAGGTATAGGATAAATTGTGTTTTCTTTTTTGCGGCTGATGATCAAATCAATGAGTAGATCGACAATGAGAGTGAGAGCGAAAGTTTTGATCAAAATTGAGAATGAACCAAAGGAAATATAATGATGGATACGATGACCATACAAAATCACTTATTAGGGGTCGCGTTCACTTGGCCGACAATCACTTGGCCGACTCATCACTTA